AGTTCACCCAAAGGTATGTTTTGGCGAAATAAAAGAAAAATCGATTTTTCGTGAGTGTCTTCCGATTCTCTGACACTCTCAGAAAATCACCCTTAAATTACAAAATAGCTATTACAGCGTCATTATCCGTTTTTTTGATCTCGCTGCCTATTGCACATTTTTCCCCTTAAACAGAACCAATGGGATCGATGGGGAATGCTTTTGTGGCCTGTGGAGTGATTTACTGTATCGACGATTATAGCAGCAAGTCCACTACCATCAACTTTGCTTACGACACCAAGACAGGCAAACAGTGGAACCCCAACATACAGTTCACAAACCAGTAAGGCTACAACTCCATGGTGGATTACAACCCCAGAGAAAAAGTGCTGTACGCTTGGGACCGCCAGCGTCAAGTCGCTTATTCTCTTACTTTTGAGGAATAGATCTCCAGCTAAACAATTTCTCGCAACCCGTTGAGCAGCAATATATTTATAATAAGGGAGTCTAGGAAAACCAGGACTGCAACGGCAACGGGAACGTCGCTGAAAAAAAGATTTCATGAGCAGTACAACGGCTGTGCACTTGCGTTATTATTCTTGGTACATTACTTTGCCGTCCTCTGCAAAGCAACAATATAGGACGACGCTTAGTGAAAAATGAACTTATATTTTACAAGCGAAATTCGCGATTGTCCAGATCTGTTCGGTACGCCAATGGCTCTGAAAACGTGCTTAAGCTAAATATGCAACGACGGCGTTCAGTTCCAAATGGAAATACAAAAAAAATAGCCGTCGTCATCCACGTTTCGTAGACAACGCAGTACTTGGTCATTTCACGTTGTTGTTTTGCAGAGGACGGTATTGAAATGTACAAAGATTTATAACGCTCGTGCACAGCTATTGTTTTTCTCATTAAACCTTTTGTTTGGTGACGTTCTCGTTGCCGTCGTCGTCGTGGTTTCTTAAGCTTCCTAATGTGAAATGACAAATTCTGCCTTCTCTGGAGAACGTGAACTACGACGGCTAATTTTTTAAATTTCTATTTCAAACGTTTCGCTCTGTCCTAGATTAAGTTTCTTGATAGTTTTGACGCTGAGAAACACAGGAAAATGACTTTAGAGTATCGCGAAATTCGTAGGTAAAATATAAATTCACTTTTTTAATTTTTAATCAACGTAGTCCTCGGCGTCGCCGTTGTGGTTACTTAACTCCGTAATTTCGCATTGCACTGCAAGTTGATAAGTGTTATCGTGTATTGTTCAGATTGTTCCACCACATGATGCTGCAAGTTGCAGCAACATGTGGCTCAACAGGGCAAGATCGCTCAACATGTTGCTACAACTTGCACTGAGCACCGCACTAAGCCAGTAGTCGGTAATACGGGTAACAACCAACTTTTTTTTAACCAACTTTTTTCAATGTGACATTGTTGCGCCACAAGTTGTGAGAAAATGTTGCCCGTCTTTGTTGGTCTGTAGACGATGCACAAACAAGAGTGTTGTTCAGTTATAATTTATGCTTTTATTAGGTACGGTAAATATACCAGCATACCAGCCTAGTGGCCAACCAGGCAAGCGCCTATCTCCGGTTTCAGTAGCATGAAGCGACTAGGAGTATTTCTACTCCCCCCGGGATGGGATGCTAGTCCATCACAGGGTTACCCCAAGCATTAAATTCGCTGGTACTCATTTATACACCGGGGTGGAGAGAGGCACTGTGAGATTAAGTGTCTTTGCCCAAGTTATTTGAAAACGGGACCCACTACGGCCAATTTTTCGTATTTCTATTTGGAACTGAACGCATTCATAGCATATTCGGCAGGGGCAAGTTTTGATACCGACAGACACACTGAATAGGTCTAAATAAAAGGGAAATTCCAAAGTAAAATATAAACAAACTGTTAAATAGGACACGTCCTCGCCGTCGCCGTCGTACATGCGTAAGGTCCCTAATGTCCACCGCCAGGGCTCGAACCAAGACCGTTCGATCCGGAGGCGAGCGCACAAACCATGAGACAACCACGCCTTCATTATTAGGTTTTATTATTAGTGTTAGGTTGGCATATAAAGATAAAATTTTATTTAAACTTTAATATTTAGAAGGGTCTGAAATAATGCAATGAAATTACTTTGTATGCTCTCTTGTAGCTCACGCCCTCCTGTGCAGCCAAGTTTCTACGCGATTATCGAGCCGTCTCGAAGATCGAACCTCCTCTGGACGTTAGATAGGTGTTCTGGGGGAGGGGGGGAGGGGGTAGGCA